ACCGCCGCGAAGACCTCCTTGAAACACTGTTTCGTCCTCTCCAGGTTGTAGCCCGTACAATTCTGATCAAAATGAGACGTCTTCCAGACTTGTACGTGTTTTATTAAACGAGATGCAAATTTCACAAAATTCTCATTAGGGACCTATATATATATAAATTCTATACATTTTTCACGCGGTTAATGACAAGGTCCCGTTGATAATTAAAGGATGTGGTTTTCCTCAAGAGGCTGAAATGATGTTAGAAAATGTGGGTAATCTATTAACAAAGATAAAAGAATTGGGTTAAGCAGTTGACTAGGCCATGCAGCTGTGATAATAATACCGGTTGTTTTTTCTTCAGCTAATTTTTTAAGTGTTCGTAGAACCAAGGAAAACGGAGGAAACGGATATGGAGAGAATGTTTTCGACTCTATGCTAAATGCATCCGTAGCCATTGCATCAGGATCTGGTTTCCAGCTGACATATCTTGGAAGCTGAGTATTCAGGCGATCGGCAAAAAGATCGATATGGTCCAAATTGCTGTTGAATTTGATTAAAAATGTGCGTGGCTAAACGCCAGTCGGAGCTGTCAATTAAGTATCTCTATGCCCAGTCGGCTTCAACACTACCTTTCTCTGGGATATATTCCACGGTGAGGGTGAAGGTGACATAGTAATATTAGAAAATCAGAATAAAAGAATATACTCACGTGCCTTTAATTTTTTCAGTGACATCGCACCACAAATAATGTGTTTTATATTGTTCCCCTTTGTAGAAGAAACAGTCCCCTTACGTCCCACTTTTGCCAAAATTTGTTCCCCTTAATGTTTTTTTTAATTGGCATCCCTGGTCACTGCGCGATGGTTATACACTCGCGATCTCGCGGCAGGACTCTAAATTCTGCATGGATTTCATTCTTAAGGATTCAGTATAGTTTTTTCTTAGCGCGATCACGACCATATCGCTATTTTGCGACGCGACTCATGCCTTGTCTGTAGCTAGTATTAAAAATGTCTGAGTATAGAGAAACTTTTTCTTTCTTCTGATGCAGGTACCTAAAAGCAGAAGGTATACATTTATGAGATAGGAATTGTTGTTTCTTCTGTTTTCTTATTGTTATTAGTCCAAATAGTTTCAATTATCAATGAATTAATATCTCTTCTTCAATATACTGTCGATGTTAAAGTAACAATTCTTTTTCTACAATTTTTCATATTCTTTCGTTCTCTCTCTTTTGTATTAAAATTCTCTTCTTAACACAATCACATTTTCTTTTACATTAAAATTCTCGTGAAAAAAAAGTGGCGCTGGACAACTGAATATACGAAAAATTTCAAAGTCCGAAAAACATTTCTCTTTCACTTGTGGCGTTTATGGCATCGAATCTGGATTTTTATTTGAGAGAAAAATGTGCACATCCGACAATTCCTGCCAAATGTTTACCTTGGTCATTTGAACTTTTAATACATTCATACTGGTGTGTAAGATTTTTCTTCCACGATTCTATTTCAGTAAGAGTCTGCTTTAACTGCTCTGCGTTTTTTCGTTTTTCAGCTTTAATTGCTTCCTCGATTAATAATTTCAATGAAATTATAGCAAAATCGTCTAATAATGAATGGAAATTTATATATTCTGCATGATCTCTTAGTACCTTTGAATCGTTAGCATTTTCTATGTAATTCAACAATGCTCTGACGTTTTGTTGGTCGAATGAGGAGTAATTATCGTCTTTGATTAACAAACATACTTTATGTTGGAGTTCAGGTAAGATTTCATTCCATATAGACGATAAGATCCGTCTTAAATTCTTTTGATCTTTATCTTTATCTTTAAACTTTTTAAACCAACTGACTGTATTTATTAACTGTAACCACAATTCATCTTGATTGTTTGATTTTGTAAAAAACCCAGTTACTTTTTGCGTAGCTGTACGACGATTTCTAATGTCAGATGTTGATGGCCTGACAAAAGAATTATTAATTTCTGTCCAATGTGAGTTGAACTTCGAACATCCAGTATTATACTTGTCAACCGACAGAGGCGATAAACGTGTATATATACTGCTTTTCAAATGACTGTGCCTATTACTTTCACTTTTAACTATTGTGGTATAATACTTAATTATTTTCTTTGTTATATTCTCAGGTGGCTCTTCGAACGATTTCAAATGATTTTGACAGTCAGTTTTAATATTTTTATAAGCGATCTCTAATTTATTCAGTAATTGAGAAATATTTTCATGATTTTCATCAAATGCTTTTTGAGCTTCCCGAATAAGTTTATCTTGTGCTACTGGAATTAGTTGTTTCTTTGCTACTTCATGTAACTTATCTTCGAATCCGCGCTGCACAAAATCTCTTGTAAACATTATTGTGGGTTCAATTATTTTTTCTATTTTCTCTTTGATATCAGGTGAATAACACGATAGTTCTGTTCTATTTTTAAAGTCGACAATTGCTTCTTGTACCTTGTGATTACAATTATCATTTAGTTCATTTGTGAAGTGTTTATTATATGTTTCAAATAAAGTTGTTACAGCTGAATCGTTAGTTACATTAGCCAAAATTTCAGTAATTTGTTCTTCGCTATCGTTAATTAATTCATCATTTTTTTTATCAATGATTTCCGATGCAATATCTTGTAATTCTTTTTTGATTGAAATATCGTGTAATGATTTACAATCTAGTAAATTTTGTCCTAAATTATCAATAGCGTCCCAATTGCTCGATATACTGGAGTAAAAGTGCTCCATGTTGGCATAAGGTGGCTTCGATGTTTTTGTAGTAAATAAACTTTCGGCAATAATATTTCTTAAGCTAAATATTTTCTCTGGAAATAGTTGATTTCTCCATGATAGCGTGATACCGTAAGTCACATCATTAGCGAAAGCATCTGGCATTAAAAGGACATGATTTGCTTTTATATCAAGTTCTTCATCAATTGAACTTTTTAAAAATTTTGCACTGCGATATAAATTTTCTTTCAACTTCGCCAATTGTGAATAAAATATTTGTTTATTTTCAAAGTCCTTTTGGTCCCGTAAAACAAACATTAGTTTGGGCTTAATATCCGCCGAACCGATTTGTAATTTTGCATAAAAACTGATGCCGATCAGTGCTTGCAAATTAGCAAGTACATCTCCTCTTTGATTAATCAAAACCATATGTGATGATAACATAGCCATTGACACCATTTGATTATCAAATATTGAATCAGCTTCTTCTAATGATAACAGACCTTCGGTATCAAGTATGATAATTGTTTCCGATTTCCATTGTACGACACTTAGGTATATACCGATAGTACATCGTCCGGCGCTAACACGAAAATTGCAACCAAACGTTGAATTCAACAACGACGATTTCGCCGATGATTGTTCTCCAATAACCGTTATCACATATGGTGATCTGTTTTGTCGCTGCAGATACTTCATGCACAAATTTAGCAATTCATTCTTGCAATGTAATGGTCGTCCTCGAAGAATGTGAAATGCGTAACCTTTATACATTAGGTGCACCATTGCTTTTGTTAAATTATGAATTAAATTTGTTGATTGACTTAGTAATGCTGGTGGATAGTCATAAAGAGCTAATATTTCATCACAATAAAGACCAATCGTTAAGTCAACATTTGTTAGTTTTTCTTCAAGCTGCTGAAGTTTCCTGGTGCAATCTTTAAAACCTTTTTGTAGTAACCGTAACTGATTCGTACAATTTTCTGCTTCAGCTTGATTGACAGCTGGATTTTGATATACCGAATTTTTTTTTTCTATGTTTTTTATTTCATCCTGATACTGCGTTGCATGATTTTTCGTTTCCGTAATTTCATCATTTAGACCTGTTACATATTTTGAACGCCATTGCTCCAAATATCTTTCTGTCATTAGTAATTCAATGTATGTGTAATGTGTTAACAAGTCAATGAAAAATTGGCTGTATTCGGATATAGAGTGAATATCACGTAGCTTTTGATCACACCAATCTTTTTTCCGTTTAATTGATTCATCAAATTTTTCGTCTAGCTTTCGTTGACAAGTTTTAATCGTTGATTGCAAATAACTGACCGGTGTTGTTAATAATAAATTTTGTGTGTTATCATCAAGGTGATCAAACAATGTTTTTGATTTTGTTTCGATTGGAAATGTTACAACTGACGGATATTCAAATAATTTTAGTTTAATACGTAGAAAATAATTTTGAACAGCAAATATTGAACGACATACTGGTTGTTGATGTATTATAGGTTGTAATGTCAACATTATGTCAGATAGGGATTTACGTATTCGTTTTGACCATCTCGAAAGAATATTTTCTTTATTTATTGCAACGGATGCAATAGCAGCGTGAAAAATAGGTACAGTTAACCAAAATACATGTTTCCACTTTTCTGCTGCATAAAGTTGTTTGAATCTTTTGATAATTGTATCTGATGAAGTACTTTTATCATCAAATTTTTTGTCAAATATGACAATAATTGTTGGCTTTGCTTGAGTAGTTTTTGAATAGTTCATCACAAGTGGCAAAAATTGGTGATCATTCAAATCATCTTCCGTTACATAAAGGATCTGGAATGAAGAATATTGTTGAATTACGGTTATTATCTCTTCATTGACTGCACAATTCATGGTTCCATGCACATCAAAGATAAAGTAGGAATTTTCACTTGACATTCTTGTGCTGATGTTGCTTGAACGTTCAGACTGAACAGGAGAATTTTCATTATAATTCATTTTAGCAAATAATGTGTCAATACAACCGGTTCGAAAACTTAAATTCCCGTTTGTATTTAGTGATTTAACACGTATATTAAAGAGATATTGTAGTAAACTTGTTTTACCACATCCAGTAGCTGATGAACTGCCCAATTGTAAAACGAATCGATTATGTGTTAAACACATCGTTTCTAATAATAAATTGAAATTAATTTTGTATTGTATAGTTTGCTTTGTTGAGTCAAAGGTATAATACGACAAAGGTAATGGCAAATCATTGCGTTGAATAAAATTACCTAAATAACGTTGACTTTCTTCAGACATTGATTCAATTGTTGAAACCAACAATATTCGGGATGTCACAGTTTCGGCAATTGTAAGAAATTGTTCAATGATTTTTTTTTGCAAAGTTTTGAGTTTATTAAAATCATCGACAAGTGAACAGGCTGAAAAAACGTCCAGGATATCATAAAGCGCATGATATCGCTTTAAACTATCCAAAATATATGGTTTGAGTGATTTAGATTCTAGAACATTTTTCAATAACAGTAGTTCATCTAATGGTCGGTCAATTATTGTATTAAAACAACTATCGAGTTCTTCGTGGTCAGAAGCTCGAAATTCGCTATTTTCATTCGGACATAAATAGTTCGACCACAGTCTGAAAAGATCAACTTCCTCCGACTGAAAATAATTGTTGTCAATATGCTGGCTATGTACAGTATTCTTTGGTTTTAACAATAAACGAATATCAATATCTTTTGTTCCAGTTTCTTTCATCGGATCTTTTTCCGTTTTACGATATTTAACCTAAACGAGACCACGTCTTCGCATACTTTTGAGTCTATAGGAATGAGCCAATATACAAAGACTGATATGTCATTTTCTAAGATAAACTGACCGTTAGAGTGAGTCGTACTAAAGACGAAGTTTAACAGCGATGCAATACCGCATCTAACGACATCATGATTCATCTCACATTTTCTTGTTTTTTTCGAAGAAACGTTTTTCAAAGCATTAGTTTAAGTTGACACTGTGGGTAGACATGGCGTATTTCCAGCACGTACTCGCAAAATGGCAAGCAGTAACTGACGAGAGAACATTCCATGTGATTAAAGTCGTTTGAGTTGACATGTTCAGGGTGGATAGGTACCACTACGATATGAATAATCACCAAAGAATTTGAGCTCATGGTACTTTTGGACCGAGATATGAGTTAATTAGTGAAAATGTCATTAATAATAATTAATTAATAACTCATGACCTTTATCGGTTAGAAGTCTGAAACTTTCGGCATTGCTGGAGATAGATGTTGCCTGCCGTAAGATTTTTAAGCGTATAAACTAAAAATTTTACAAAATATGAGTTTTGTATGGTTTAGGCAGATCTTATTGAAAATTCATCATCGAAAATTCAAAAAGCTGTTCTCATCTTTTAAATGCCTGACAGAAGCTCAGTGGCTCTTAGGGACCTATATCTAGATGAAACAAGTGTTTACTGAGCCAACAGATGCATTTAAAAGGTGATAACAACTTTTTGGATTTTCGATGATGAATTTTCAGTAAGATTTAAACCATACAAAACTCATATTTTGTAAAATTTTTAGTTTATACACTTAAAAATCTTACGGCAGGCAACATCCATCTCCAGCAATGCATTTCAGATTTCTAACTGATAAAGGTTCAGAGATCAGCACGGGCAGGGCCGGGCTTGGGCCGCAAACTATTTTGGTCGGATCGGGCCAGGCCGAACTTAGAAGTTTTAAGCATGCGTGGATTTGTAATTTATGTGTATACTCGGTACCGAGAAATCATAAAAATACAATATTAGGTTGAGAAATACATTTACACCGCTTAGTCAGCAAATGCATTACAGATGCAAGAAGAAAATCGGGCAAAGTGGTCGGACCGAGCCAGGCCAGAAAAGTTTCAAGATTGGACGAGCCGGGCCAAATAAATTCTACGTTTAGTGGGACCGAGCCAGGCTTGGTTCAGAAACTTTCATCGCCGGACCGGGCCAAAAATTTTCGGTCCGTGCGAATTTCTGTAAAGGTCATGAATTATTAATTAATTATTATAAATGACATTTTCACTAATTAACTCATATCTCGGTCCAAAAGTGCCATGAGCTTCAATTCTTTGGTGATTATTCATATCGTAGTGGTACCGATCTACCCTAAATATGTCAGCTCAAACGACTTTAATCACCTGGAATGTTCCCTCGTGAGTTCTTGGATGGAACTCTTCATTAGTACTTTCGTAGTTCAAATTAAGTATTGATCAGTCTCTTTTATTTCAAAAAACAGCGCCCCGTTGTCTCTTTTTACTCACGAGGGAAGGTCACCAACTGCCACCTCGCTTTTTAGCTCTAAGCTAGTGGGTAATAGGTAAAAAAATGTGCTGAATCTGAATATGACAATGATTTGGGCCGCTAGGC